TCCACCTGCCTCGAGTCCTTGGAGCCTGCCCTAGATCTTTGGTGCCATACCCTGGTTCCTGTTTGCTTCTCCTTCCCTCGATCTCTGCTTCCACCCTCAGCTGCTTGTCCTAACTACCCATCCCAGGTCCCGGCTACCTGCCAGTCCCTGCCGCCCGCTCTAGTTTCTTGGTGCTCTGGCCCAGCCACCTGCCATCTCCTCTGATTCCTCACCTCTGTCCCAGCCACCTGCCCTGTTTCCTCCACCCATCCCGGCTGGGCAGTGACCTGCAAAAATGTCCTTCTTCCTATAGCGCGGGATCTGCTCTGGCCCAAGCCTCAAGCCGGAGCTGCCCTCACTCCGCTTTTGGGTGTGTCTGTGGTAACCTACCTGTCTCTCAGGCCTGAGGTGACCTGGCCACAGTTGCTATCCTTTGGGCCCAAAGTGCCCTCCGGGGTCACCTCTTTAGCCAGTCCAGCCACCCCATCCCACCCTCTGGCCTTTTCCACCCACCACCCCTCCAGTCAGGCTACTCCAGTTCAAGTTTGGGGGTCCCTGGAGCAGAGCAGAGCCAGGGTTTTGGCGCCTCTGGTGGAAGCAGCGCACTCGGTGGCTGGTTGGGGTGGCTAGAGAGGCGGTTGCCGGTTTGTTTTTCCTCTTCGGTTTGCCTGTTGCTGAAACCAGTGTTATGTAACTCCCAGGCTCTGCTTGGAAAAGTTGGGTTTGAGTTTTGCTCCTCAGAGGCATCGACAGTGGGTATCACATGGGTGACTGTGCCTCTGGGAGGGGCTTTTGTTTTGAATGACAGGTGGCATAGGCATTTCAGCTTGGGCTGGGAACTGGCCACCACCTCATCAGATGGCTCTCACTATGGCTGGCTTGGTGTTGGGCACCTCTCAGCTTTGTTTTCCTGTATTCTCAGGGAGGAGCTACAGGCTGGAGCCACAGGTGTCCCTGTGCTTGGGCCTAGGGAGACACCGCGAGTTCTCATCAGTGATCTCAGACCTTGTTGTTGGGGGAGGGCCTTTGAGCTGGCTGGTTGAGTCATGCCTGTGGGTAGACCACCCACTTGGGCTCATTTTCAGCCCTAATAGAAGGAGAGGGTTGACTCAGCCCCACAGCGGCGTGTGCATTGGAACAGGTGTATGTTGTTTCTCACTGTTTACCTGCGGTGTGGGGAGGTGGGGAGAGAACAGGTGGCCTAGAGGAGTGAGGGGGCCCTGAGGCCAGGCCTCCTGTCATTCCCCCGCTGGGTGGCAGGGTAGATGGACCTTCCTTTCAGCCTCATCTGTCTGGAGAGGGGAGATCTGTGTGGGGTCACCCACCATGCCGCAGGCTGTGATGGCGCAGCTGGAAGACCAGGAGTGGGAGGCCTGCCTCATCTCCAGGTCTTTGAGCTGCCGCTGAAGTGCAGCCGCTGAAGTGCAGCCGCTGAAGTGCAGCAGCAGACTGGTGCCTGTGCTCACATGGATGTGCCCGCTCTGCCCGTTGAAACTGGAGATTGAGCCATGAGCTTCCACCCACCTGTGGCCTCTCTCAACATCAAATCGGTGTCTGGGAAGGGAGGGAGCGAGCGCCTTTCCTCTCGGTTTAGGAGGCCCTGCATCTGTGGACAGAAAGTGAACAGAACTGGAAAGTGGAGAAAGTCCTCCCTTGCACACCCAGTGGCCTTCGCCACCAGAAACATTGCTTTATTTTCCCTTACTCATCTTTCAGGGTGGGTTTGGGGCTTTGGGCAGGGGCTTCTAGGAGGCTGGGCCGCCCACCCAGTAGGTTGAGCTTTTCCTGTTGGTCCACTGGTGGTTCTCCCCGGCTTTACTGAAGCAGGGTCACGGACCCTTTCTGTTGCTGTGTAGATGGCATGGTGTGGTTGTCCCGTGTCTGTCATTTTTGTGGCTTATTCCTTTGGAGTGCAGACTGAACCCGGGCCCTGTCTGTGCCGGGCAGACACTCAACTGTTGTTCACCAGCTCTGCCTGGCTCTTCACTGCTCTCCTGACCTCAGAGTGCATCCATGTGCTGGCATGTGCTGTGTCCTTTTTGTGACTGAGTGACTTCGCTGCACAGACCCATCCCTGCTGACTTCTGCTGAGGCTTAGCACCTGTGGGAGGTGTTCTGGGGAGGAGCTTGTCCTGGAGGGCCATGTCCCCACTGCTGCAGGGCTTGCAGGGCTGCTGCCCAGTATATGGCTCCGTATGCTGGCCCGGTGGGGAGTTGACTGAAGTCTAGAGGTAGAGGACTGTTGGGCCAATGTTAGAGAACCCCATTTTCTGTGTGAAAGGCCCTAGTGTTGGACAGAACCCTGCAGGTCCAGATGAAATGGGCTGGCACTGTCCTGCAGAGTCTCTGAGATAGGCCAGGCTTCTTCTTTTCTGGTTCTTGACCCATCCAGGTCCTTCTTTCCTCTGTGAGGACCAAAGGTAATTTCAGGTATCTGTCGTTTGTCTGCTGGCTTGTGGGGAAGACTCCTGGGCTGCTCACCTCCTGAGCAGCACTGTCTATCGCCTTTCTTTCTCACAGTGAAATCTGGTGGGAACAGGGCCAGTGGAGGGTCAGGGGTGTGGGCACCTGTCCGCATAAGGACTAGCATGGAGGAGCTGCCGGAGGAGGGTGAGTGGGCTGCGCTGCTGTTGTTGTGATGTGGTGGGTCTTTGGGGACCTGTCCCCACTGTCGCATTAGCACACAGACCTTCCGTCCTAAGTGAAAGGGTGAACATGAAAATGCTAGGAGACAGATGCCACTGTTCCCTGGGGGTGACCTGGGGTTAGTGGCTCCGGGTGCCACCCGCGGCTCTGGTGTGCTGCTGTGGCCCCTCCAGGGCCTACCACCTCCTGGTGAACCAGCAGGGTGCAGGTGTCTTGTCTACACGGGTCTGAGAGATGACAACGGGCAGAGAAAAGTGGCCTACAGGCCGCTGGCTCCATGTCCTCAGCTGTCCTTGAAGTGGGATCTGTTCAGGGAGGGACATCACTGTCTGGGGACAGTGCTGCTCCAGCTCTGGGACTCTTGCACTTCATCCAGGCCTGGTCACAGGACACAGGGCCAGCTTGCTTGTCCTCTTCTCAGGGACCTTCCGTCCTGCCCAGCTTCACCGTCCATGGTGGCTCTTTAGCCTAGTGGGCCACACCACACCTGCTGCTGCCAGGGCTAGACTTGAGTCAGCCTCCGCAGTGTCCCACTGTGGGGTGGGAACCTGTCACACTTGCTTCTTTACCTAGCTCTGTCTGTGGGGATGTGAGCAAAGCCAGACAGCCTCTTTGTGCCTCTGAGAGGGAGGCCCTTGGATGCAGGAGCCTGCTGCTGGGGCAGCAGTCTTAAGGGTCTGCAGCCACCGTGGCTCTCAGTGCTGTAGTTCTCCTCTAGAAGACACCTGCACCACAGTGCCCACCAGCCAGTAGTCACACGTGAGGCAGATGGGAGCCCTGAGGCCCTCGCCATGCTCCTGCCTGGGACTGGCACCCCCTCTGCACCTCAGGTGTTCTTTTGTGCACCACATGACCTCGGGACAGCCCGTGGCCTGGCTTCTACCCTCAGCCCCACGGCGCCTTCCTTCCCTCCTGTATGGAGGACTGACTGGTGGAGGATGGCCCGGCCAGCTGCTCATGGTGCCCACTCAGCACTGTGAGGATGGTGGCAGTCAGGGTGACCTGAGTGCTTGTGGAAGCCTTTGGGGGCACTGGCCTCTAAGTTGGGTGAGAGAGCATGGCCTAGAGGTGGTAGGGGCTGTGGGCACTTTGATCTATCTGCCCTTGGCAGAAGGTGAGGCAGGGGATGCCATGGCCGTGCTGTGTGCATGCCTCTGGACCGTGGACGTGGTCTGTGAATGACCGAGGAACCCTGTCCTTTGGTCGAGTGAGAGAAGAGGCCCCTAGAGTCTCGTGTGGATTGGTGGCCCACGGTGTGAAGTTTGGTAACTGAGGTGGATGTGTTATGGTCTGGGACAGTCTGCTCCAGCTCTGCCCAGCCTCGTCCTGGTGGGCAGCATGCCCGCAGCACTGGTGCTTCCTCAGGACTCAGGGTGCTTTGAGAGAGGTGTGCTGCTCCCCAGGGTGCCAGCCGCACCTGTCACCAGGACGGGCTCTTCTGCTACCTGTGTGGTCCCATCCTTGTGTGCCTGTGAGGGACAGGTGAGCTTATACCACACAGAATAAAGGTCAAAGGCCACAGGATGGAGAAGGGGGGCTTCTTGCTGAGCTGGACCCAGCCAGGTCACCCTCTTTGTAGGTCAAAATAGCTACGACTCAGCTTGGGTCCAAACTAAGGTTAAGGAAGTTGAGAGCTTCACAGGTCAGGAGCAGGCCCAGCTGGGTCTTGACCCAGACACTAACTGAGCCCTGTCCTGAGGCTGGAAAGGCCAGCTGGAGGGATGTGGCTGTTCTGGAGGTTTGGGGGAGGGGTACCCTGCCTATGTAGCTCCCACTCATCTCCCGCTTAGGGCCTGGAGGAACAAGAGATGACTCACTTTACATCCCAGCATTTGTGTTTTGGAGGGCAGGCATGGATTTGGCTAAGACTCTTGGGGCCTCCTGGAGGGCAGGCTCTCTTCAGGGGTGGGGCCTCTGCGAGGAGCGGGCCAGACAGCAGCCCTGGGGCCAGATAGGGATTCCAGGCTGCCCTGGCAGGGGCTGTGCACCTCGAGGCATTTAGCCGGATTAACTGAGGCTGAGGGCAGTATATGCCAACCAAGGTCCTGGGGCACCAGCCAGCAGACTTAAGTGGGGTGATGCCCATGAGACCTGCAGTACACCTCTAGTCTGAGGTCACAGCACCACACAGTGGAGACTTTCTACAAGTTTCTTCTGGAAGCAGAGTTCCCTTTCTGCACTGCTCTGATCCAAGGTCTGAGTTCTGTGTGTCCTGTAGGAATCAGTCTTCAGGAAGGTGACCCTTGTGGTTTAATTCACTTGACAGCTTCAGGGTGAGCCTAAGTGTTGTGTTAGAGCAGACTTTCCCCTGGAGCGCGGCCTGAGACACCCAGTGGTCCTGCCTGGGGCCTTGAGTTGGCTGGGGAGCCTGCGGCATGCCTTTGGGTCTGGTGAGGTGGCAATGTGCCCTGGACCTCCTCATGGGGCAAGGGCTTCAGCCCTGTGCTGGCCAAGCCTTATTGTGTTGCCTGCTGTGGGGTCTGGCCCTGCTCTGCGCCAGGTGCCATCCCTTGCTCTTAGCTCATTCTGTTGCTGTCTGGGGCCAGATGCACCTCTGAGAGTGTGAGATGCTTGTCCTCAACAATCACAGAATGTGTAGAGGTGGTCAGTCCGTTGCTAGGCTGTGCAGCGAGTCTGGAGTCTTCTTTTCAGCCTGGCCTTTGTGGGAGTGCTGGAGAATGTTCCTTGTATTTGTCTTGTATTGCCTCTCGGGATGACCAGGGCTTCCTGTCAGTAGCTTGCATGGGGACCTGAGCACAGTGCTGTTAGGACCTCGGTACCCTAGTGGTGTCCCACAACTGGTGTTCCACATGCAGAGAAGATAGTTCCCCCTTTCCTTTTGAACACTTTATTTTTGAGATAGGATCTCTGACTAGCAGGCTGGCCTTGGCCTTGAAGAGATCTGCTTCTCTCTGCTGCCTATACCACTACAGTTGGCCTGGAAAAGCTGTTTTTTTGACGTGAATCTGTGGCTGCCACGCAGCTCAGCAGTGTGTGCCCACCCAGAAGTCTCAGTGCTCCATCCATCCCAGCACCACTGGAGCAAGAAGACCCAGCGCCCCTGGGTCTGCAGATGTCATTAGACAGAGGCCGTGTGGGGCTGGGGAGAGGGCTCTGCAGCTGAGGGCACCGGCTGCTCTCCCGGCACTCGTGTGGCAGCTCACACCTGTCTGTGCCTCCAGGACCTGACACCCCACACAGACAAGCAAAAAAAAAAATCTAAAAAGCTGAGTCAGGACCACTGAGACACCACCCTCCTTCCCATCCCTGTGATGATGCAGCCCAGCCTCTGTGCACAGTGGGGACCATCTGTCAAATTTCCAGGCCAGGCACCACATGGGGTGGGGACTGGGGGCTGAGACACATGGGAAAGGGGACAGATTGCAACAGCTCATGCATGGTCACAACAGGCATCAGCTGCATGGTCACAGGGATGGTGGCTCAAGACCACCCTAGAATTCCATCTCAGCTCCGTTTGCATGGCTAGAGGACACCGTTCATGGCAGAGACAGGCAGAAATCGGAGCTCTTGTGCTCGTGGGGGGAATGGAAAATGATGTGACCTGGGGAGAATTGGTGGCTCCTCGGAGCAGCAGGTATGATGGTGTGTGGGCAGGAGAATTGAGACATAGCCTTGGACCCTGTAGTAGCCACAGTCACAGCGGTCAGGACAGACTCCTAGTCTTGCTTCACTGCTTTTCAGGCCTGTGCCACCACCAGAGTCACCCAGGGCCTGCCCCATTAGAGCTCAGGTCCCAGGGAGGCTCTGAGCTCTCTTCTGTGTTGAGGTGCAAGCCCCTGCCAAAGAGTGTGAGCAGATCTGTCGCCTGCCTGTGCTTCAGCACGGCCAGCCTCCCGGAAGCTGATGTGGCACTGGGTCACTCTGCTCTTCAGTTTTGCCAGCCTGGAGCTCAGAGACAGGTGACAATGAACTGCATGTTGTCTAGCATGGCTGGGTTTTGAGTAAGGTGAGGGTCCCAAGCTGGTGACTCACAGGACGTGGCTCAGGGAAGTGAGCCAGGCAGGTTCTGTAAGAGCCCCCACTTACAGGCGCTCCCTAGTATTCTAGCACACAAAGTTCTTACTGGCTGTGGCTCTGGAGAAGGGAGTGTTGAGTGGCCATCGTGGGACAGGCATGTCCCAGGGTGAGAATGCTACTGACATGCTCACTTAAAAGCAACCCTGACGGCCCGGCGGTGGTGGCGCACGCCTTTAATCCCAGCACTCGGGAGGCAGAGGCAGGTGGATCTCTGTGAGTTCAAGGCCAGCCTGGGCTACAGAGCGAGATCCAGGACAGCCAGGGCTACACAGAGAAATCCTGTCTCAAAAAAACAAAAACAAAAAAAAAAAAAAAAGCAGCCCTGATCCTGGAACCTGTGGTAATCCCGCCTCCACACCTGGCCTGCTCTGGGTTTTTGTCATGGTTTTAAAGGGTTTCTTTGTAATGACGTACATTATAAAGGGCCTGGGGCTGGAGAGAGCACTGGGAGAGCTGAGGAAGATGAGTCTAGAGGTTACTCTGGGTCCTCTTTGTCTAAGAATTCGTGTAGACTGCAGAGCACACTCGCACGCCTACCCCTGGAATTAGTATAGACTGCGGCCTGGCTGAGCACGCATGGACACATGCTCCGGCCATATAAGTGCATCTTGCCGGTGTTGGGAATGCCCCCGGGGTTCCTGGCCTCTCATGGGCACCTGTCTTTAGGGTCTGAGAAGTGACTCGTAAATATCTGCATGTGGCTTCATCCATAAGCATCAGCTGGGTGGGAGGTGTCTGAAGGTGGGAACCTGGTGCTGAACCACTTGACTGATGGGTTGATCAGGAGGTGTCTGTTTCTACCTCTTGGGTCTGAGTCCTGGTGCTTGGCCCGGTGGCTTTGCTACTTCTGGGCCTTTGGAGAGAGAGAGACAGAGAGAGACAGACAGACAGACAGACAGACAGGGACAGAGACAGAGACACCCAGCTGCCTGGCCACCTGGTGGCCAATTGCTGGGGAAAGGGGCTGGTGCTCTGGGGTGATGATGGAGCTATGCTCCCCTCAGGCCAGCCAAGGCAGCGCGGCCTCAGTGGTGGGATTTTAGTGCAGACGTCCTGTGCCGTGACCTGGAGGCCCTCCCTGGTGGTGTGGCCCTCTCCATAAGGCACAAACTGGGCATGGAAGTCTGGCTTCTGCCTTCATGCTACACAGCGATTCCCAGGGTGTGTGTCATGGGTTGGAAAGGTTCGTTTTCTTACTCCTGCGCACTTCAGCTGTGCCCTCCATGGCCCCCCCTCCATGGTGGGGTCAGACTCAGTGGGACACCGCGCTGTCAGCCAGCTCTGGCACCCTGGGGCTGCCTTGGTGACCCCTGTGTTCTGCTGTAGGTTGGACCAGAGGGCATCTTGCAGAATGGGGCTGTGGATGACAGTGTGGCCAAGACCAGCCAACTGCTGGCTGAGCTGAACTTTGAAGAAGATGAAGAAGACACATACTACACCAAGGACCTCCCAGTCCACGCCTGCAGGTAGGCCAGGAGGTGGCTCCAAAGTCTCTGCTGCTTGTCAGGACCCTGGGCTCAGTACCTGACACCCTGAATTCATTTAGCTCTGTGGGTTCCCCTGCACTACCCCTACTCCTTGGTTGTTAGGAGCTAGAGAGGAGCCACAGGGAACCTGAAGAGCCACTCTGAAAGGTGGGGCATGGACAGTTTGTGGGTCTACTACGGTTGTCAGCCCCATCAGAGGCACAAGAGGAATTAAGGCTTCAAGAGTTGGAATGTCTTTGCTGCATACACCCAGCTCAGCTTGTCCGTCCCGAGGCCAGAGCTGGTGTCTCCATTGGGGCGTTTGCAGCCACCTGCTGCCCTCTGCAGGACAAGTTTGGCCTCTCTGCTCCACAGACCTAGCACCTTCATTACCATGGCTTTCCTGATTGACAAGTGCTTTCCAGAGCCACAGGCAGGCTGAGCTGGGCGCCCTAGTCCTCCTTGCTACCACGTTAGACCAGGACCAGTGATAGCATGTTCTGGTTTGACGGTTCCTGCCCCTACCTGCCCAGCGCACAGCAGAGCTATGGAGAGTTATGGAAAACCGGTGATTTAGGGTGCATAGGGCACCTCAGCACCACCAGCCTCTGAGCTGGGCCTGGGGGTTCGCTGGGCACACAGTGCCTTCTGCCGAAGTCAGGTGTCTCCTGACCACAGCCTTGCTCCTAACCTGCAGGCCGAGGAGGGGGCCGGGGCCGCCTTGGCCTGTGCTGCCTGGTGTCTGCGTTGCCCTCGCTCTGCCCTGTTAGTCGAGGTGACTTTGTTACTTGACTTGCTGGGGTTGAGTTTGTGTTTAATGGAAACCAGAAGCTCTGTAAGAGGCAGGATTTATCCCAGAGGCTGTGGGCCAGCACTGACTGTGGGGTTTGGACTTTCCAGTTACTGTGGAATCCATGATCCTGCCTGCGTGGTTTACTGCAATACCAGCAAGAAGTGGTTCTGCAACGGCCGAGGAAATACTTCTGGCAGGTAGCTGACAGCCATGCATGTGTGTTTAATCAGTGGTGCTTGCGTGCTGGGAGCTAGGATGTGACGTTGGAGTGAGGCGTGGAGGGAAATGGCGCGGGTGAACCTGGGCTCCCCTCTGCCTGGGTAACTTGAAACAGATGGTGGCGTGTGAACGCCTCGGCATGTTTACCCTTGGTTGATTCTCTGGCTTGCTCATTATGCGAGGAGTTTGGCTTAATTTCGTTCTCGGTCTGCGCCTGTCTCTCGTGAGATGAGGCTGGCACGGCCTGCTTGTCCTCGTTCCTGGGAGGCCACGGGCATCCAGCTGGCCCACCTCACTTGATTGTCTTGGGCAAATGGTTCCAGACCCCAAGTCACATCGTTACATCCTGGTGCTGCTGCTGAACCCCACTTCGTGCTGGCTCTCCGCGATGGTGTCAGGGCCCCCCACTGCCAGCAGTGGTCTGTATCTCAGGACGCTTTTTAGAAAGAATGCCACAGGAAAAAAAAAAATAGTAGTATTTGAAAAAAAAAAAATTGAAAAAAAAAAGATTGGAGATTGGAAGATTGGAAGATTGAAGATTGAAGATTGAAGGTCTGCAGCAGGGTCAGGAGCAGTGAGGCAGGGGCCAGCGTTTTTAAACGGTCTCGGTCACCTTCAGGGGTCAGCACGTCCCATTCTCAGAAGGTTCTAGACAGCCGAAGTGCTGTTCAGTTGGCATCAGCTCCTTCCGTGCAGAAGAAGCAGTAGAGTAAAGCTCACCGTGGGCGGGAGGAAGGCCTGTCCTGGGTTGGGATGGGGAATTGGCCACTTGAGGCAAGGCATCCAGTGACCACTGTTTAGGAGGAGTCAGGCCTGCAAAGCTGGATGACCACCGGGGGACTGGTGAAGGCTGTCATGGGGTCAAGTTAGTGTCTCCTGTGACAGTCAGGAAGAGCTGGCAGAGCCCATGGGCCTCGGGTGAGGTGGCCAGGCTGACATGGCCACCCTTGAGGGAGGCTACGTCCTCCTACGCGGCAGCGTAGAAGCTGTGCCCCTCAGAGCAGCCTCTTGCTGCAGAGACTGCACGGGGGAGAAAGGCCTGGGGGGGGGGGCATGCGGGGCCCGCCTGCCCGGCTCTTAGAGGGGTAGTTAGGACCGTGAACTGGGGCTAAGAAAATGGGAGTGGGGGACGTGGCGGGGCTGTGTGAGAGACAGCGAACGGGTTCTGCAGGCAGTGGGGTGAGGCAGGCTGGGCTCCTGGGTGCGTAGGCCTGAGTGAGGGAAGACCAGGACCAGGACCAGGGCCTTCCACGGGCTGCAGACCTGGACGCGGCGGAGCCAGGCTTGGGTGTTGACTGCCAATGGTTTCCTGGTCCCAGCCACATTGTGAATCACCTGGTGAGGGCCAAGTGCAAGGAGGTGACGCTGCACAAGGACGGGCCGCTGGGCGAGACGGTGCTGGAGTGCTACAACTGCGGCTGCCGCAACGTCTTCCTGCTGGGCTTCATCCCTGCCAAGGCCGACTCGGTGGTGGTGCTGCTGTGCAGGTGAGCTGCCCACGGGCGGGGTGGGCGGGGCCCTGTGTGTATTCTGGTCAAACTGGAAAAATCCCAGCACTGGGGAGGCAGAGGCAGGAGGATCTTGAATTCAAGGCCAGCCTGGGCTACATAGAGGACAGCCAGGGCTACGTAGATGAGACACTGTCTCCAAACACCGAAAAAAGGAAGGAAGCAAGCAAGTCTGCTGTGAGCGGGGCCAGAGCCGAAGTGTGCGGCTGCTGCTGGCTGCGGGCTAGTCAGAGGTTCCTGGCCGGTCCCAACCCGCTCTCCTGCCTGCCCCACCCCTGCGCAGGCAGCCCTGTGCCAGCCAGAGCAGCCTGAAGGACATCAACTGGGACAGCTCCCAGTGGCAGCCCCTGATCCAGGACCGGTGCTTCCTGTCATGGCTGGTCAAGATTCCCTCGGAGCAGGAGCAGCTTCGGGCACGGCAGATCACGGCACAGCAGATCAACAAGCTGGAGGAGCTGTGGAAGGTGAGCCGTCCAGAGACAAGCACACAGCCAGCCGGACGCGGGGGGTCTTTGTATGCTGGCTGAAGGGGACAGAGCAGAGGGTCTGAGGAGTTGGTTTAGGTTGTCATGAGATTCCTGTTTCAGAGAGCACCTGTCCCTGTCTCAGGACGAGTCAGGCCTCCAGGTCAGGTATGGGGCTCTGGCCCCTGCCTTCCCTAGGCCCTGCTGGGAAGGGGGTCTGGCTTCAGGCTCTGACCTTGTTCACATCTTGTTAGGGATGTCAGTGGAGCACCCTTTGACCAGGAATCCTAAGTAGTGTGGGACAACAATGTTGTAAGCCCTGTCCAGCTTAGTCTCTCTGCACCTGGCGGTCAGGTTCCAGTTATCTTGGTGTGCCCAGATGGTGTCCTGTCTCAACAGTGGGGATTATTGAAGGCAGTGGCTCCCAGGGGAGGCAGGAGGGTGCAGGATGCAGGAGATGGACCCAGCTCACTGGAGGAAGTCCAGGACTCTGCGAGCCCTTGGTTGTGGGCCTGAGTGTTGTGCTGGGCCCGGGTGCTCTCTCCAGGTTTCCTGCGGTCAGAATGCTGTCAGGCATGCCCACAGCCATCGGGACAGTAGGTTTAAGCACAGGCTCACAGCACAGTGGCCACACTCTGCCCACGAGGGTTTGTGCCAAGAGGCCATGCAAGCCTCGGGTTCCTTCCGAGCTCTTGATCGCTGGCTGTGGGTTAAGCAGGGTGAGCACAGTGCTATTCTCGGCCATAGGAAAACCCTTCGGCTACCCTGGAGGACCTGGAGAAGCCAGGTGTGGATGAGGAGCCACAGCACGTGCTCTTGCGGTATGAGGATGCTTACCAGTACCAGAACATCTTCGGGCCCTTGGTCAAGCTAGAGGCTGACTACGACAAGAAGCTGAAGGAGTCACAGGTGACGTGGAGCGGCATGTGGGCTGGGTCTCTAGCAAAGCCTCTCCTGAGGGTTCGAACCTGGATGGAACCAGGCACGTAAACGGCGTTAGGCCGGGGCTCTGGGCATTTTGAAAGAAGGCCTAAAGTGTTTCTTGGTTTTAAAATCAGAGAGAACCCCTTGTGTCTGGTTAACAGCTTTGTCTGCAGCTCCAACAACATTTCTGGGAGGTGGGCCCCATGCCCCCGGCCCCCCAAGCACCTTCTCGGGTCTGCTGAGGCTTCTCTGCAAAACCTGCTGCTGGGACTGGCCTAGGCAGCGGGTGTCGGGGATCCTTGTTGCTTCTTTCCCAGATGTTGGCGTTCCTGGCTGTGGGTGCTGTGCACTGCACTCCAAAGGCTGCACAGCACAGCCATGCATGGCCTTCCTAGAGGCCCCTGCCTGTGGGAGCCCAGCCCGTGAGTGGGTGGAGGGCTAACCAGGCCCCTGTTTCTCGTATGTTCAGACTCAAGATAACATCACGGTCAGGTGGGACCTGGGCCTTAACAAGAAGAGAATCGCCTTCTTCACTTTGCCCAAGACTGACTCTGGTAATGAGGATTTAGTCATAATTTGGTTAAGAGGTGATTTTAAGTTTTAAAATATTTGTGACCATAAGTAGCATAAAATTCCTAGTCCCCGTATCATGTCCTTATGTGAACTCTGTATGGTGGAGGCCATGGCCCTCTGGAAATGCTAACTCTGCTGCTCCTTCCTGCAAGACATGCGGCTCATGCAGGGTGACGAGATCTGTCTGCGGTACAAAGGGGACCTAGCACCCCTGTGGAAGGGGATTGGCCACGTCATCAAGGTCCCTGACAGTATCCTTTGCCACATCAGTTGGGAGGACGGGTGCCATAACAGGACCCTGGCTGTTCTGTCCCTCCTGTCTTCCCTGTGGGCACATGCACACGTTGGCACCGTGTGTGTCTTGGCTGGGAGCTGCCCCGCCCCATCGCCTGCTGGTTGCCTGCTCGTGCACATGTCTGTGTGTAGTGGCCTGGGGTCGGACTACAGCAGTCCCCTTGGTGGACACCACTCAGGAAGCCCGTGGCCCTGTAGGGGGTAGCGGCTTTGAGCAGGAAGCAGACTTAACTCAGCGGCCAGATTACGGTGATGAGATTGCCATCGAGCTCCGCAGCAGCGTGGGCGCACCCGTGGAGGTGACCCACAACTTCCAGGTGGATTTCGTGTGGAAGTCGACCTCCTTTGATAGGTTCGTCTGCCTGTGCCCCAGGGTGCTGGGGCCATGGGGACCCCTCCACCTCCAGTCCCTGTGGCCCACATGGGTCCTACACCGGCTCTCCTTACAGGATGCAAAGTGCGCTGAAGACCTTCGCTGTGGACGAGACTTCTGTGTCAGGATACATCTACCATAAGCTGCTGGGCCACGAGGTGGAGGATGTGGTCATCAAGTGCCAGCTGCCAAAGCGGTTCACAGCTCAGGGGCTCCCCGACCTCAACCACTCTCAGGTGCCGCGGGGACCCTAGGGGCAGGGCCTGTCTGGGGAGCTGTAGTGATCACAGCTTTGCTGACGCAGCCTCCTTGTAGGTGTATGCTGTGAAGACCGTGCTGCAGAGACCACTCAGCCTCATCCAGGGCCCTCCAGGCACAGGCAAGACGGTGACGTCGGCCACTATTGTCTACCACCTTGCTCGGCAGGGTAACGGGTAGGTGCTCAACAGCCATGGCCGTGTGAGTGTGAGTGGCAGTGTACAGGTGCCCTGTGTGCCCCACAGCCCACAGGCCTGCCTCACATGCAGGAGAGGGTGCTGGCGCCTGGGTAGGGGTGGGAACCTTTGCTTGTTCTGCCTTGGCATGGCTGTGCATGCTGGCATCAGAGCTGTGCAGCTCTGCTGAGGGCCCTTGCTGAGCCTCCCTGGGCAACGCTGACGTTCCACTCCGCTCTCCCAGGCCTGTGCTGGTCTGCGCCCCAAGTAACATCGCTGTGGACCAGCTCACAGAGAAGATCCACCAGACAGGCCTGAAGGTCGTACGTCTCTGTGCCAAGAGCCGCGAGGCCATTGACTCCCCAGTGTCCTTCCTGGCTCTCCACAACCAGATCAGGAACATGGACAGGTGAGTGTCTGCTTCTGGGGCCTCCGTACAGGCTGCACTCTGCCACTGGCGCTGACTCTGCCATGTGTTCTGTAGCATGCCCGAGCTGCAGAAGCTGCAGCAGCTGAAGGACGAGACGGGTGAGCTGTCGTCTGCAGACGAGAAGCGGTACCGGGCGCTCAAGCGCACAGCGGAGAGAGAGCTGCTCATGGTGAGTGTGGTGCCAGCCCAGGGACGTGGGGCCTTTTCTGGGGGGGGGGGGGCTCGAGAGACTTGTCCGAGTCAGGAGCCTGGGAGCACTTGGAGGCCCACAGTCAGGGACACCCAGCTGCCACTTGTCAGCCTCCCAGTTCTGGCAAACCTGGCTTCCAAAACGGGAGTCTCAGCCTTGGGGTTCTACCAGCTCGGCACTGTCCTGGAGACTGTTGGCAGACACAGAGCTGGGGACTGTGCCCAGAAGGCTGTACCACCTTGAACCCCGGTGCTCTTCGTAGCCTGTGGTGCTGATGCTTGGGTGGCAGAAGGAACGGCTTGTCCAGTTGTTGGGGAACTGTGCATAGAAAGCCAGCCTGGGGCCGCGCAGCACAGACCCTGGCAGGAAGCGTGCACACAGGTGTGCCTACACACGTGCCCTTGCTGAGCGGGTGTAGAGCAGGGCACTCCAGGTCTCGTCCTAAGCCAACTGGCATGGTGAGGTAGACTGTGTCTGTGCCCTGATGCCCGTGCCTTCCCCAGAACGCAGATGTCATCTGCTGCACTTGTGTGGGTGCTGGTGACCCAAGACTGGCCAAGATGCAGTTCCGTTCCATCCTCATCGATGAGAGCACACAGGCCACCGAGCCTGAGTGCATGGTGCCCGTAGTCCTTGGGGCCAAGCAGGTGGGTACCTGCCACTCGAGGGGCCCCGTATGCATGCCCTGTAGTGGTGCTGGGTGATACAGGACCTGGAAGAGGTCTTTGAAGGGGGCTCAGCCCCGTGTGGTCCACTGGCGCCCACGCCTCCTGGTGTGCGGGCACAGTGAGCATTGGGCAGTTTTTCCCCCACCCAGGGGCACTCATAGTCTTGCTTTTAGATGGTGGAGGTGAACCTCTGTCCCTTGTGGGGGGCACTTAGGCTGCCTGGAGCCTGAGGTGTTGACTTGAGGGACTTCTTGCTACAGCTGATCCTCGTGGGTGACCACTGTCAGCTGGGACCAGTGGTGATGTGCAAGAAGGCAGCCAAGGCCGGACTGTCACAGTCGCTCTTTGAGCGCCTGGTGGTGCTGGGCATCCGGCCCATCCGCCTGCAGGTGCAGTACCGCATGCACCCCGCCCTCAGCGCCTTCCCGTCCAACATCTTCTACGAGGGCTCACTGCAGAATGGCGTCACTGCAGGTAACAGTTGGGCTGCGGCTTGGCCCCTCCCTAAGGCCGACTGTTCACCCCAGCACCTTGGGCACAGTGTTGCTGGGCCATGTGCTCTGAGTATGTGGTGGCTCCACAGTGGCCATGCTGGTCTGTAAATGGTCCCCCCCGTGGCTGTTACTTCACAGAGGCCCGGGACAGTCAGCCCCAGGCTGTGGCATCCCTGTGGTTAGAACTGAACTGCCCCGACAACAGCTGCCCAGCCCTTTCCTTTGGGGTAGTGGCTGAAGTGTCAACGAATCACGTGCTCAGGTGCCCAGAGGAGGGCGGGGTTTAGTTTGATACACAGTATGAGGAGACCTGGCAGGTGGCAATGCCCTCAAGGGTCATCACAGCATGACAGGGCAGGTGAGCTGTGTGAACCTGACTCCTGAGGTCAGAAGCTGGTCACCTGTCACCTGGAGTGCGGTTCTGGCCCTGCCCTGATACTCTCCGTGATGGTGACCCCTTCAGGGTCTTTGCAGTGGGAGGGCCCGGGGTGCTGGGTAGCGGACACAGCAGCCTGTGGCTTGCTGTGGTATCAGATGAGCCATAGTGACCCAGAAAGGCTTGGACACTGTGTCCACCCCGTCCTGCCCACCCCCAAGCTGCTTGGGAGTGGAAGCTGACTCCCTTGTGACCGGAACCTGTGACGGGAGGCTGGTGCAGAAAGCACCCTGGACCCAGGCGTCCTCCACTAAGTCGGACAGACAGTAAAGTGGAGCGGTTTGGCCACAAGGAAGAAAAGGCCGCTCTCTCGTTTTTTGCAGCGTAGAGTTATTTTTCATAAAATTTTATAACATCAGCCTGTGGTGGTGGTGCATGCATATCTTTAATCCCATCACTCGGGAAGCAGAGGCAGGCGGATCTCTGTGAGTTCAAGGCCAACCTGGGCTAGAGTGAGATCCAGGACAGCCAGGGCTACACAGAGAAACCCTGTCTCAAAAACAAACACATTCTAACATCTTGGCATGGTGGTTCACAGCTTTAATCCCAGCACTCAGGAAGCAGACAAAGACAGGACCTCTGTGACCTCTGTGAGGTCAAGGCCAGCCAGGGCTACCTAGTGAGATCCCATCTCAAACACACACACACACACACACACACACACACCCCTTCAGCAGTGGGTCTATTTCTCAGTCAGTGTGGATTTGAATGCCTGTGTTTGATGAACTCTGGACAGGGAAGGAGCTGCTCAGAGCTGCGCTGTGTGGCCTGGCATGTGGATTCCAGCAGCCAGAGGCGGGGATAGATGATGCCCCTGCTCTGCTGGCCAGGCTGTACCTGCTCTGCTGGCCTGTGTGGCTGCCCAGTGTGGGAGGGTCCCGGGTGGTTGCTGTTGCCTGCTGCTCTTAACCACTCGGGGACCACAGGTGAAATGCCGGGACAGGCCTGCACATCCCTCGCTAAGCTGTGCCGGGACAGACCCTGCCTGGTGGATCCACACCAGAGCTCCTGTGGTCCCATGGCCTGCCCCCACTAGGCTACTGTGCCTCCATGGGTGGCTGTTCGCCCCAGACCCCACTGACCACGCTGTGCTTCCTTGGTGCACTGGAGGCCCAGGGCAAGGGGCCCTCCAGGGCCAGCTTCCTTCACTAGTGATCGGCTGTGACACGTGTGACCCTCGGGAGGAAGCTTCCCAGAGTGGGATAAGCTGATGTGAGTGGATTTAGCATCTAGAGTGTGAGGATCCACACAGTGAGCAGCCTGAAAAAAACTAGAATGGTGGCAGCCAAGCAGGAGGGTGCAGTGTGGTACTCGGCCAGCGGCGGGTACCGACAGGCCCCGGTCTGAGGATGAGCAGAGGTTCCTGTCCACAGACACTCGATTGTGACATGTGCAGCTCCCTGGCCCCACAGTCCTGGGGGCTCTGGGTCCACGGAGGTGCTGTGGGCAGCCCCTAGGGGCCTGAGAGTGTGTCTCATGTTCCCCGGGGTGCCTTCGACAGTGCTGGCCCGGCCCCTTGGCGGCCCTGCTCTGTCCCAGGCCTGTCGGGCTCAGGAGCCCTGAGACTCACTGGCTCAGTGACCTCACTGCTCTCAGTGTGTGTGCACTTGGAGCCCCTGGGCCTTCTCAGCAGCGACGCTTCTGTCTTCCCTGACACAGCGGATCGTGTCAAGAAGGGCTTTGACTTCCAGTGGCCACAGCCTGACAAGCCCATGTTCTTCTACGTGACACAGGGCCAGGAGGAGATTGCCAGCTCGGGCACGTCCTACCTCAACAGGTGCGCAGCAGCGGCCCATGAGTGGGGCCGCCACGGCATCTCACTCCCTGGGCTGCGGTGCATGTCGCAGCATGTGAGGGGCCTCAGGAAAGGGCAGGGTGGGGGACTGTCATGCGGCCTCCAGTGCCGCCTGGGTCGCTGGAGATCTGTCGGGCTGGGGACAGGCTGTGGGGATCCTGTCACTGACAGCCAGATGTTCTCAGGACGGAGGCAGCCAACGTGGAGAAGATAACTACAAAGCTGCTGAAGGCGGGCGCCAAGCCTGACCAGATTGGCATCATCACACCGTACGAGGGCCAGCGCTCTTACCTGGTGCAGTACATGCAGTTCAGTGGCTCCCTGCACACCAAGCTCTACCAGGTACTCCCCAGGCCCTGCTCCTGACTTGAGCCTGTCAGAAGTGCCCCGAGGGCCAGGGCTGAGGGCAGCCTCCCTGGTGACCAGAGCTCACTCCTCGGGACCCACACAGTGGGAGAAGGGGACTGCTGTAAGGCCTCGGGTGCCACATGCATGCTGTGGGGTGTATGCAAGGGCACACACAAATAATGCATCTTAAATGTGCCTTGAAGTGGTGCGCAGTGAGGAGAGCACCTGACCACACATTGCTAGCCAGCATCGTGTTGAAGGCGCCTGATAGGCTGCAGGTTGGCTCCCTGAGCCACAGGAGGTGCATCCGAGTAGCTTCTGGACTGTGCTGAAGGCAGAAGGGGACAGCATGTGGTGGGGAGTCGTGCCTTCAGTGTCAGCACTCTGGAGGCACGAGTGGTGTCAGGACAGCCAGGGCCACACAGTAAGAGAGCGGTCCAGGATCAAACGGGCAGGACGGTGCCACCTGGGGGACATGGTACTTGCCCCCTAATGGAAGCTCAGCACAGTGTCCTGGGCATGTGGCAGATGTGGAGCTCTGGTGGTTTTGTGCTGGGGAGTACCAGCGCCCAGAGTTGGCATCATGCAGCCCACACGGTCTGAGCTTCCCTGTGATGGGCGTGTGGTGTCCCCGTCACTGGGCACTTGTAGCATCTGGCCGTGCTGGCCCCAGGGATGCAGCTGAAGGAGGGGCTGTGGCTTATGGGACACTGTCTCCTTCAGGAAGTGGAGATTGCCAGTGTGGACGCCTTCCAGGGCCGGGAGAAGGACTTCATTATCCTGTCCTGTGTGCGTGCCAACGAGCACCAGGGCATCGGGTTCCTGAATGACCCTCGGCGTCTCAATGTGGCCCTCACCAGAGCGAGGTAGGCATCTGCCCATTCCCACCTTCCACCCTCCAGCCCGTGACTAGAAGCTCCCCATGTCTGTCCTAGAAGGGCACTCAGACCTGACATGTCCCTGTGTCTGCCCCTGTCCAAGGGCTGGTCACTACGGCCTGCCTCGCTGGGTCAGGAGTACCGACACAACTCCATGACCCTACAGACGGCCCGCTGCAGACATTTGGAGACTGGCCGCCGCCTCTAATTGGTTTCGGTGGCTCGGCTTTTTAAGGTGCCACCTCACTTGTTGACCAGTGTTGTCTGGTTCTTGGCGACATTCAGGGCGCTGATCCTGGACACTGGAGCCTTGGGTGTGGCCCTGAGCTCTCGGCATGTCTGTCTGTCGCCCCGCAGATACGGCGTGATCATCGTGGGAAACCCGAAGGCGCTGTCGAAGCAGCCGCTGTGGAACCACCTGCTGAGCTACTATAAGGAGCAGAAGGCGCTGGTGGAGGGGCCGCTGAACAACCTGCGGGAGAGTCTCATGCAGTTCAGCAAGCCCCGCAAGCTCGTCAACACCGTCAACCCGGTGGGCAGCGGCAGGCCGGCCCAGGGCCGGGGAAGCTGGGAGTCCCAGCCCCTCCTTCTGTTGACTGACACATTCCTCGCTCTTGTGCCACCCTGCAGGGGGCCCGCTTCATGACGACAGCCATGTATGATGCCCGGGAGGCCATCATCCCTGGATCCGTCTATGACCGCAGCAGCCAGGGTGAGTCTTCCTGGCAACCACCAGTGTGTTGACCTTCCCACGTCTCAGTCTGGTCCTGTCACCCCATGGGTGGCCTCCCAGGCTCAGTTCTTGGCCTCCATCTGGAGCTTGCCCAGTGGGTCTTTGTGGCTTCCCCAGCCAGGCCCTGGGCCCCCTTCTAGGCATCCAGGGCTGCTGTGGCCTTTGCTAGTGGTTTGTACCCTGGTCCCTCCGGGCTGCCTGGGCCTCCTGACTACTGCTGCCCTTGTGTACCCCGAGGCAGGCCAGTGTCCACCGCAGCCAGGCTGGCCTCTGCTTTCTGGAAGCTTCTGAGTTGCCCAGAAAGCTCCCTCATGGCCAGAGCCTCACCTACCTTCCTGTCAATCCTTACCCTCTAAAGACATCCTGCGTGGCAGACTCCTGTTGGTCGGCCTCCTCCTGTTGGTCGGCCTCCTCCTGTTGGTCGGCCTGGCTGGCCCAGCAGCTAGTTCCCTGCAACATTGTCCGCTGGGGCCCCGCCTCTGACTCCAGGTGTCTTGCAGGCCGGCCCTCAAACATGTACTTCCAGACCCACGACCAGATTGGCATGATCAGCGCAGGTCCCAGCCACGTGGCCGCCATGAACATCCCCATTCCCTTCAACCTGGTCATGCCTCCCATGCCGCCACCGGGCTACTTTGGACAGGCCAACGGGCCGGCTGCTGGTGAGTGGTTTGTCATCACCGTCCTGGTCCTCATTGAACTCCAGGCTGAGGGGAGCCTGCAGTCTTCACTGCTGTCTTCCAGGCCGGGGCACCCCAAAAAGCAAGACTGGCCGTGGAGGCCGCCAGAAGAACCGCTTCGGGCTTCCTGGGCCCAGCCAGACCACCCTTCCCAACAGCCAGGCCAGCCAGGACGTGGCCTCGCAGCCCTTCTCGCAGGGGGCCCTCACGCAGGGCTACGTGTCCATGAGCCAGCCCTCCCAGATGAGCCAGCCCGGCCTCTCCCAGCCCGAACTGTCCCAGGTGGGCCCTCGGCCTGGCAGAGGGGGTGGGGGGCACACAGGAGGCCACCGCGGCGCCTCTCTGAAGGGTGGGGGACCCTGTCTGGACTGTCACTCGGCCACCAAGGCTGTGTCCACTGTGGGTTTGGTCCGTCCTTGGGGATCGGGGACTGGGCGGTGTCCCGGCTTGCTTACTCTGCCTTTGCCCTCCAGGACAGCTACCTCGGTGATGAGTTTAAGTCACAGATCGACGTGGCCCTCTCGCAAGACTCCACGTACCAGGGAGAGCGGGCATACCAGCACGGCGGGGTCACCGGGCTGTCCCAGTACTAGAAGGCAAGTGCCCAGTGGGCTCTGCACCGTCCACCCGGGTGCAGATGGAGGTGGGGTGCGGGGAGGCGCTGCTTCCGCTCGGCCCTGACCCCTCACCCTGTCCCTGTCACAGGTGGCGGCGGAAGCGCTAAGCTATGTGGCTTAGTCTATCAGCATCTTATTCTGGGTAATAAAAAATAAAAATAAATGGATACCTGTTTTCCACTGCTAAAACTGAAGCACCACTGTGTGAGCAGCCGAGGAGAGGAGAGAGGAGCGAGAGCGAGCGGAAGCGGCCAGGGAGGACGACGGAACGGAGCGCCGAGGAGCGGGCGCCCCCTGCGGGCGGCGAGAGGAGAGAGGCCCGCAGCGCTGCAAGGCCGGCCCGGCGCCGCGCCCGCCAGAGGGAGAGGCCTCGCCAGCACCGGCCCGCTGTGCTTTTTCTTTGTTTCTCGTGATTGAGGGGCTACGTTTTAGCAGGACGAACTTCGCGGCGTTTCTGTGCCCGAGCGGGCGGCCAGGAGCGTCATCGCGCGGTCCCAGCGCTGAGGGGTTTCATTTAAAGAAAACACGGTGTTTAGGGTTTTGGTTTTTTTTGTTGTTGCTTTTTGTTTTTTGTTTTGTTTTTTTTTTTTTCTCAAAGATTCTTTCAAAGGAGTATGGCAAGTACTTTGATCAGTTTGTCTCTAAGACCTTAGTGGTGGACCTGGGAGATGCAAGAAGCTTCCAGAGAGGCAACGCCGAGAAGCCTGAGCCCCGCAGCCTGGGATCATCGCCTGCACCGCGCGGCCAGAGGATTGGTTTGAATTGGAGCTTCAGAGGCCCCAGGCGGATCCTGAGCCTCCTGAGCCTGACCAATGCGTGACAGCCCACAGGTTCTTCCCCAGCGTGGGTGGAGGCCTCAGTGCTGGGCGCCCCGCCCCGGCCCCCCAACCTCTACCCCGCGGCGGCCACCCGACCCCTACCCAGGCACACCTGCGCCAACGCAATGGAACTTAATTTTTGGTCAAATTTGTTTTAAGCTTTTTGTCACCAATAAAACATGAACAAATGGTCCTTGCTTTCGCGTGGGGCTGTCCCTGCAAGGGTGTCCCGGGTGGTCAGCGGCAGCCACACTCATCCACCACCATGTCCTCGTAGTGTCGCAGCACCACATTATCACTGTTGTCGAAGAAGAGCACGGAGATGGGTGACAGGCGCGCGGGCACGCAGCAGGGCGGGCCTGCACCCGCCGTCGGGGCGGCCGCGTGCATGAGCGCCCGCAGGACGGCGTGGTTGAGGGCGGGGGGCCCGCCGGGTCCTGGCAGCGCTTCGGGCAGCGTGCACGCGCCCTGGCAGAAGTTGGCCAGGAAGCCACGCGGTGCGATCACCCAGCGATGCCAGCCCACCTCGCGGAAGCTCACGTGCAACCGTCGCGTGCGACACGTGCCCCCCGGACCACCGCCCACCCCAGGCTCGGTGTGGCGCCGCGACCGTGGCGGGGGACACAGGCGCGGGTCCAGCGTCACCAGCAGCAGCGAGGCCTCGGCCAGACGCGGGCAGGCGGTGGCGGCTCCACCGTGCAGCGCCAGCGCCAGGCGCAGCGTGCGCGGCACCGACGCGTTGGCGGCCACCGCGGCCCCCAGGAGGTCGGCGCGCAGTGGCAGCCCGGGTGGCACAGGCACACGCAGCAGCTCAGGCCCGGGATGCTCGGCCTCTGCCCACAGTGCCACGCTTAGCTCCCACCCGCGCGTGTCCTCGTTCGCAGCCTCCAGCCGCAACTCCAGACGCGCGCGTGTCGGGCGCTCCGCAGGCTCCACGCCAGACAGGTCGAAGGCGACGGTCCACTTGGGGCACGGTCCCGAGGTCCTGGCGGGCTCTAGGGGCCTGGACAACACACCTAGAAGGGTGAGGAGAGAGCGGACATGGCGCGGCGTCCCGGCAAATGGGCTGGGACGGGCCGAGGAGGGAGGGGGGCGCAGAGGCAGGAGCGCATCTGCGGGGCACTGCGGCCGGCCGGTGGGGGCAGGGCGCTAGATGCAAGGAAGAGGCGCTGTGGGGCGCCGTGCCTGCCCTGGGAGACCTGGGCAGACGGAGATGGGCCAGCCAGCACCTGGGCCCCGGAAAATGACCGACGGAAGGCATCAAAGGGTGTGAGGTGGTGGGGCTGGAGGCAGGGCTGAGGTTGGGTCTGGTCTTGGGAAGCCCCGGAACGTGTTCTTGAGTTCAGAGGACTAAAAGCAGTGTCCCAACTTGCTAGCAGGCTGGACTAGGCGCGCGGAGGACCCTCGGCCTCATGGGCCCTTGTCCCACCACAAACCCCTACTCACCGCTGTCCGGGATGTGGCGCACGATGTTTCCGGCGACCCCAAGTTCCTCCACGTGGCACGGTCGCAGAGGGTACCCCGCTCTGGCCTCTTGGGGGTCGCGGCGACGGAACAGGCGCCACATGACAGGAGGCACAGGCCGGAGCGTGGGGACGCCCTGGGGCGCTTCGTGCAGCCCTAGAGCCTGGAGCAGGGCGGAGGCGGGGTCCGAGGGTGCTGGTGCGCGGGCGGGGGGCGTTGAGGGGAGCAGGAGCAGGAGCAGAAAGAGGAGGTGGCCACCAGAATGGTGGCGGACAGGGAGCATTTTCCTCCCAGGCGGTGTCCAAGAGTCAGCGGGATCCACTGTGTCCGGGACCAGCAGGCTGGAGGCCACAGGTCCGGGGGGCTTTGAGGTCCTAGAGGGGGCGTGTCCGGGCCCCACTGATCTGGAGGGCAGGACTGGGCGGCGGCCCCAAGGTGGGTGGTCTCGAGTTGACCTGGAAGGCGGAGCTGCTGGCAGCCGGGGTCCCTGGGGAAGAGTGGCGTCCCCGGCGTCCTGGGGGCGAGGCCATGCCTCCAGAGGCGGGGCCAGGTCCCCAGGGGAGGGAGCCGACCTCCAGGAACTGGGTCGGGTCTCCGGGGGCGGGGCCAGTCTCCCAGGTAGGAAGGAGGAGTCCGGGAGGGCCGAGCTGAGGACGGGGACTCAGAAGAGCTTGTCCTTCACCAGCCCGTTCCTCAGCGGCTTCCTGGGGACCAGAAGTCGGGGCAGGTCAGTCTGGGAACCACACGCTTCCCTCCCCCTGCTGAACCTCGCCCTTCCCTGCTTCCACCTTGGCAGGGGCCAGGCAGGTAGAATCAGTCCGGCTCCCTCCCCGACTCCCACCCAGACCATGCCTGCTGTGGCTCCTGAGCCGCCCTACCCCCAAGCTCCCTCCAGAATATTCAGAGTCTCCACCAGTGCTGGGAATGGAAGGCAGACTTCGGCGACGCTGGGCAGTGCTGTACAGCCGAGCTGTACCCCAAAACTCCCCACTTAGAGGGAGCCTTAGACTTTCTCTTTTGACATAGGGGCCTCTCTGTGGCCCCCCAGCCTGGAACTCCCTTTGTAGAGCAGGTTGGCCGCAGACTCACCGAGATCCACCTGTCTCTGCCTCTGCTCCCCTCCCCCACCCCCGTGCTGGGATGATTAAAGGCGGCCCACCAAGCCAGGCGCTAGTTTCTGATTCATACGGTAAATTTCATTCTCTCTGACTCTGACCCCCTGATGGCCGACTGAGGGTTCCTCAAGAAGGGGCAGCCCAGCGGGTTCTGCCCCTCCCCTCCTGCCCCTCCCCTCCGGCCTTCAGCAGTCAGCCCCTGAGGGAAGGCACCCGAGTTGTGGCTGGCGGGGTGTGGCTAGTGTCCCCTCTCTGCAGTTGGTGTTCTTGGGCATACCGCGGACTTCCTCAAACGAGGCAGCGCAGGTCCTCGGGGATGCAGCTTTTGGAGCCCTGGTGCGGCATCTCCAAACATTTCTCTATGGAGCTCTGCAGCAAGGGGCCCTGCTTGGTTCCAGATTTGTCTGAGTCTCCCTACCCTCTGGAATGTTCTAGAAGCTTCCTCAATATGCCCTCCATGTCTTCACAGATCTCACGGCCCACATTAAAGGTACCACTTCAATCCAACACATCCCACATGAGACTCCCACTGGGCCCCGATGTCTCAGCACATGCAACCCTACCCTGAACCCCAACTACACAATCGGCAGTTTCAGCCATAAGCCTGAAGCTGATTGGTTCTCGTCTAACAAAGTGGCTGTTCCACTTTGGGCTCAGTCAGACCTCATCCTCTGGCTGAGCTCATAGCCCTGGGAGAGGCTTCACACACCAGTCCCAGGCCCCTCCATGTGGCGCTTGGAATGAGAGTGTGCCCCGTAGGCTCATTTGAACACGCATTTTAGGAGGAAGTATGTTCCTGGGAGTGGTCTTTGGGGTCTGTAGGCCTCATCCCATGTGAAGTATGTTCTCTATGCATACTGCTTGCGGGTTAGGATGTGAACCCCAGCTTTCTGCTCTGGCTACCATGGCGCTTGCTGACATCACTCCCGCCATGACGGACACTTAGGAAGCAACGAGTCTGTCAGGGCTGTAAATGAAATCTTTTGAACTATGGCTATGTGGCTTTGTGAGGGCTAAAGTTATGTCTTAAGTTGTAATTACTGTGCTCAAGAGATAAATAAAACAAACGCCTCTAGCCTGTGAGCCCCACTTGTCCAAGGACAGGTAACTTCCTGGAATGCTGGGTCTGCTCATGGAAGACAACAAGCCATGTGTTTTCACCTCAGCAAACAAGACTGGTTGCCCCAACTGCACAGGATGTGCTTGATCATACGGGCAGGAAGTACGTCAGGATGTAATCTTGCTCCCATTGGACAAGGGCAGGAAGTACAAATATGTAGCCTTGTGGGTTTCGCCTTTATAAGCATCTGATTAAAGTGATTTGTGGCCATTCTCTGGGAACCACCAGTATGGACCTGGCCAGTGTCCATCATCTTGGCCAGTACTGAATAAAATTTGCTTCAAATTTGGCCCCAAAGTTGTGATAGTGGTCTTATTCTTGCTCAGTGGGATTAGCGGTGTTTGGTCAGCTGTGACTGAGCCCAGCATCATGCTGTGAAGTCTTCCTGCAAGTGTTTCCTCAGGGTCACACACAAGCTGTGGTCCAGAGGGGCCACCTTCCTTGTGAGGTGTAAGACTCCTGTGTGGGACCAGTTTCAAGGCATGAAGGGGTCATGGAGAGCAGCTGAGGCTTGGCACTGTGAGAGGCCACAGATGAAGGCAGAGAGGCTGTCATGTTTGAGATTCGAGGGCCAGGGGAGCGCAGCAGCGGAGAGCAGCCAACGTGAGCTGAGACAATCCCAGAAGATCTTGAGTGAACCCCAGATGTGAGACACTGAGGTACAGATTTAATTGACACTTTGATCGTGTCTAGAGTAGGGAATGTTTAATTTGTTTTTAGTTTTACAGGAGCCACAATTAAGAAACTTTGGATAATTTATTTAATTTTATTTTATGTGCATTGGTGTGAGGGCACCAGATCCCCTGGAACTGGAGTCACAGACAGTTAGTTGTGAGCTGATATGTGGGTGCTGGGAATTGAACCCGAGTCTTCTGGAAGTCTCCAACCCCAGAGTGGTTGATTTTTTTTTTTCCTGAACTTTTAAGTGATGGAATTTTTGTTTGTTTTCTGAGACAGGGTCTTACTATATAGACTTATCAGACCTGGAACTCAATGTGTAGGTCAGGCTGGATTCAGACTCACAAAGATCTGCCTGCCTCTGCCTCTCAAGTGCTAGGATTAAAGTGTGTGCCACCATGCTTAGCAAGTGACGGGATTTCTAAAGACTGTGGGACTTGTAAAAGTTGGACTGTGTTTTATAGTGTAACATTAACATGGGATCTTGGGGAGAAAAATAAAGGAGAGGTTATGGTTTAATACTAATGTGTTCGTGCGTCAGGCTGACAAGGGGTCAACTGTACTAGTTTTTTATCGTTAACACAAACTGGGGTCATTGGGAAGAGAGAGAGAGCTTCAACAGAGAACAGAGGCCTCCAGCGGATTAACCTGAGGGCCAGTCTGTGGGGCATTTTCTGGATTAATGATTGATGCTCCGGAGAGCTCTCGGCCACTGTGAGTGGTTCCACCCCCTAAGGAGTGGTCCTGGTGCTGTAAGAAAGCAGGCTGAGTGAGCAATGGGGAGCAGGCCAGGGAGGTCTGCACTTCCTGCCTGACTTCTCTGTGCTCAGGGGGAGCGGTCATCAGGGCGACAGAAGAGACACCCAGTCTCTGCAGTTGAAGCTGTCCTGGGACTCAAGGGGATCCTCCTGCCTCAGCCTCCTGAGTGCTAGCATCAGTAGCAACTGGCCCAACTCCAAGAATTTAGGTTCGCGCCATGGTTAAGAGCACTGGCTGCTCTTCCAGAGGACCCAGGCTTGAGTCCCAGCACCCATTTGGCATCTCACAACTGTCTGTAACTCCAACTCCAGGGGATTGGGTGCCCTCTTCTCACCTCTGTGGGAGTCAGGTGTGCAGGTAGTGAACCGATACACAGGCAGAGAACTATCCATCCAAACAAAATAAATGCACAGATAATTTTTAAAAAGAACAACTTAGGGCCAGGGTCTAGAGAAGCAACTCTCAATCTGTGGGTCATGACTCCTTTGGGTTAAAAGACCCTTTCACAGGGGCCATATATCAGATATTTACTTTATGATTCATAACAGTAGCAAAGTTACAGTTATGAAGTAGCAACGAAAATAATTTTATGAGCCGGGCAGTGGTGACACACGCCTTTGATCCCAGCACTCAGGAGGCAAAGGCAGGCAGATATTTGTGAGTTCGAGGCCAGCCTGGTCTACAGAGCGAGAGCCAGGACAGACAGCCAAGACTGTTATATAAAGAAACCTTGTCTCTTAGGAAAAAAAAAAAAAAAGAAAGAAAATAATTTTATGGTTGGGGGTCACCACAACATGAGGAGCTGTATTAAAGATTCACAGCATCAGGAAGGGTGAGAACCACTGGAGAGGGATAGCTTAGTGATTAGTTAAGAGCATTGATTGCCCTTCCAAAGGACCTGGGTTCAGTTCCCAGCAACCACATTAAGGGTCACATCTATCTTTACCGCCTTCCAGGGGATCTAGCACCCTCTTCTGGCCTTCTTGGGCACTGCACACACATGGTTCACACACACACACACACACACACACACACACACACACACATATATGCAGGCAAAACACCCACACGTAAAATAACAATAATTAAAAAAGTTAAAAGCAAAACAAAAGAACTTAGGGCCAACACATGGCTCAGTGGGGAAAGGTGCTTGTAGCCAATCCTGATGACCTGAGGTCCATCCCTGGGACCCACATGTGGAAAGATAGACTTGATGTCACAAAGTTGTCCTCTGACCTCCACACTCCCACTGTGGCACATGCCCCGACCCCACCGTAAGAATAAATTATTAAAAAAAGATGTCCTCCTCCTCCATTCCTTAAAAAACAAAAATTATTAAATCCTATTTCTTCCTCATTCACCTCCTGCCTCATGGGGTCTGAGCTGACACCTCCACCATATCCCAGGGCTCGGCTGGTTTACACCTTCTGGAACCTTCTACAGCCTCCCACTCTCGCTCAATGTCCTCCACATTGTCTCAGGGGTGCCGCATGTCCTGAACCCTGCTTGTCTACCCAGCCGAGGGGCTGGTGAGGGCCCCAGAGGTCCACCGAGACTCCAGCATCATTCCAGCCTCTGCCTGGCTGCTGAGCCGACCCTGGACTCCCAGGCCAACAGGGCAGGTGGAGGAGGCCTAGCTCCCCCTGGGCTGCAGGTCACAGTCCCAACGCAAGCTCTTGGTCATTCCTGCCGCCCAGCTAGCAGCTCCCGGCCCTGGAAGGCCTATCACCACCCTATGACCACTTTCACCCCAGATGTTGCATCACCAGCTACATATCCACGCCTCTGCCTCAGGCAGTTTCTCTGTGGGTCCCTGCCTTCTCTGGGCCCACATCTGTTCCTAAAGGAAGGAGCCGGGGCCTGAGACCCAGCCTCACTCACTCAGCTTTGCAGGGCTTGGTGGTCTGAGCTTCCAAAGTGTCGTATTCCCTCAGGTCCTCCAGTTCACGCATCTGGCCAGTTAGCACCTTGGCAGCGAAAGCCACGATGTACTGTGGGAGGAGAAGGCCCCGGTGAGACCCCAGTGAGAAGGCCAGTCCCTTCCTGCCTGCGCGCGGCAGGCCCCGTGGGGCCGACTCACCAGGAACCAGTAGATGTTCATGACGGCGAGGAGCAGCAGGAGGACGTTGAAGAAGAAGTAGTACGGAATGTCGGGCACCGACCGCAGGCTGGTGTGGCAGGTGGCGTACAGAACCTTCAGCGGGAACCAGTAGAGGCGGAACCAGAACCTGGAGGAGGCCCGGGAAGGAAGGTCAGGCTCTCCTCTTGCACTCTCCTTCCCCGTCCGCCAACCCCGCCCTCGCTCCTGATTTATCTACCCGTCACTCATCCACCAGGATCCACTCGGTCTGACAGCCCCGCCCCTTCCCTGCTGGCACCCTTCCATTTCTCCCCAGGCCACACCCTCCTGGTCCCACCCACCCCACCAAGCATCAGCCCCTCTCCAGCCTGGCCTGGCCCTGGGCTGGACGCAATTCTAGGCCCCAATCTACCATCCTGCTAACCGGGCCCAACCACAGGCCTCACCCATGCATGTCTCCACCCCAGTCAGCCACACCCCTTCCTGGCCCTGCCCACAACCCAACAAGCCACGCCCCTCCTCCTGCCCGGCCCCACCCACCCGCTGAGCCACACCCCTCTGTCCGGGCCCCACCCACCCGCTGAGCCACACCCTCCTCCTGCCTGGCCCCACCCACCACAGCTGCCCCACCCCTCACCAGCAGAAGCAGAAGCTGAGGCAGCCCAGGTTGGCCACCAGCCCGTGCAAACGGTGGTAGGCGCCGCCCCTGGCCTTGAAGTAGATGTTGAGCTTGGTGAACTCCAGCTGCACATCGCTAACATCGTGCAGGAAGAACACGAGGAGGCCCACGTTGTGGTACCTGTGGGGTGGGGACAATCACACGGGGACTGCGGAGCCGGGCCATCCGCCCCGGCCACACGGTGGGCTTGTAGGACTGTGTGTGAGTGTGTGCCTGTGTGCAGAGCCTGCGGACCCCAGGCCGGGGCGTCGGATCCCCTGGAAGCATGAGCAGCCTGATGCAGGGCCGGGAACTGAACCCGGGTCGGCTGCGAGCGCAGCACGGACGCTGATGCTCGAAGGACGGCTCCGAGGTCAAGAGCCCTGGCTGCTCTTGCAGGAGACTCGAGTTCGGGTCTCAGCGCCCGCACGGTGGCTCACAACCACCCGTCACTCCAGCTCCAGAGCATCCCCTTCTGTACAAAGTGCCCACACACATAAAAACCTCGAAACCCAACAAGAACAGTTCAGATGCTGTTAACCCTGAGCCGTGGCTTCAGCTGCTGGTTACCGTGTGACCTGTCTCTACGTGGTGGAGGTCGGTGACCGGGTGCCCTGAGGGAGACTTGTGTCCTGGGGGGGGGAGGGCAGTTGTGCACCCTTTCTCTGCTCCCCTTTATTTCATTGAGTCGGGTCTCATGTTTATAGCTCTTGCTGGCCTGCAGCTCACAGAAATCCTCCTGCCTCAGCCTCTGGAGCCTAGCTTCGTTTCTATTCTGATAGAGATAGTGTCCTGCTGTAGCCCCCTGAGAAGGTGGGAACACGTGTGGGCTTTCGAACACCAGATCTGTTTCTGCATCTCCTGCTGTGTCTGGGTCAAGGGTGTCACACAGGGTCAGCAGGATGGCTCAGTGGGTAGAGGCACCCACCTCCCAGAACCCACATGGTAGGAGGAGAACCAGTTCCTGGAAGCTGTCCTCCCACCCCACACAAGGTGCGACACCCATGCCAGCCTTTGAAATCAATAAAGGTTAAAAAGGGGGGGGGGTCATGCAGCCATAGGCCCAAGGCAGGGGACAGTGGGTGAGGGGAGGGTCTCTGGGTCCTTCCCCAGGCCTCACACACCCCTGCTCCGTGACCCGTCCTTGCTCCGGCCCCACCCAGCCCCAGGCCTTTGCACATATCGCCTGCCCACTCTCCCGAGGACCTCACCGGAAGGCGTAGGAAGAGGCGATGAGGAGCAGCGTGACCACGTGGTGCACCAGCATGACCACAGAGTCCTTGCGCCAGGTGTCCATGTACACGGTGGCGTAGATGGCGTGGCAGTAGAAACTGCCCTGCAGCAGGTAGGCGGTGGCTATGTCCCAGGGCACCGCCATGCCCGACCTCCAGTCTGGGAAGAACCATGGTCACGGTCACGGTCAGGGCCTGTCCCCCGCCCGACACCTCCCAACACAGCCTCACAACATGTATCCTCTGTCTTGTTTTTTAAGATTGTTTATTTATGTGTGAATGGATGTGGGCACCTGCCTGTCTCGGGTCCCTGTGCAGGTCAGAGAACAATTTCTAGAAGTCAGTCTGCTCCTCCCACTCTGTGGTCCCAAGGATCAACCCAGGTCACCAGGCTTGGCCGCAAGCACCTTTATTGAGTCAGGGTCTCAGTAGGCCAGGCTCACCCCAAAATCTCTCTGTAGCAAATGACGACCTTGAACTCACCATCGGCCCCCATCCCGCTCCCTAAGTGCTGGGAGGCCCAGCATGGAGATGCCATGCCTGGTTAAAACCGACGGAACTGAGGGCCGCCTGCTTAAAACCGACGGAACTGAGGGCCGCCTGCTTCTGGGCAGGCTCCCCACCAACTCCTCCCCTGCTTCTGGGCAAGCTCCCCTCCACCAACACCCCTGCTTCTGGGCAAGCTCCCCACCAACCCCCCTGCTTCTGGGCAAGCTCCCCACCAACCCCCCTGCTTCTGGGCAAGCTCCCCACCAACCCCCCTGCTTCTGGGCAAGCTCCCCACCAACTCCCCAGCCCCATTCTGCTTGCTTGGTTTTTGTTTGCTTGTTTTGTTTTTGAGAGCCTCTTTCTTACGTTACCCAGGCTGGCCAGAGAACTCACAGCAATGCTCCTGCCTCACCTCCTCAGTGCTGAAATAACAAGTATGCACCATCATGCCTGGGCCCACCCTCCAGACGGATGGCCCCGGACATTTGCACAGGTAGGTCTCCCGTGGAGGACTCCACCCGACGCCTGTGTTCTCCCTCCAGCCTTCCCATGCCTCCAGGCATGTCTGTCCTCACTCAGACAGCCGTCTGTCCCCCAGGTGAGCCCCCACTGCCCACTGCCCCTCACTTGTGCTTCTTACACTCCCCTGCCTCCCGATGCTGAGTTCAAGGCTCCTCGATGCTCTTTCTCCCAAGTCTGACTCTGTCTAAGCCTCAGTGACGCCGTTTCCCCAGCTGCATCAGCCCCAGCTTAGAGGCAGCAGCCACTCAACGGAAAGCTAGAGGAACTTGTGGGCCGGTGAGGCGGCTCCTGGCAGAGATGCTGGCCACGAATGCCTGGCCACCCGATCTCCACCCCCAGAACCCACATAAAGGTGGGCAGAAGTAACCCCAGTTTTGTCCCCCGACCTCCACCCAGCATTCTGGAGGCTGAGGCAGGAGGATGCTTAGTTTGAGACCCTGTACAAAATCCCAAAGACCCAGCAGGAAGGCTTGGTGGGTAAAGGGCCTTGCCGCCAAGCCTGATGACCTGAGTTTGATCCCCAGGCCCCACGTGAGGAGGAGAGGACTGACCCCCAGAAGTTGTTCTCGGACCTCCACAGATGTGCAAACTGTGGCACGCGGGGGTCCCCTCCCACAATGAGAGAAAACAGACAGAAGAACCCTTCCCCATTCACACATTTCTCCTCATCCTCTAGCAAGCTACTGATCCTCACAGTGTGTCTATCTGCACTGCCCCACGTGGGCACGAGTCAGCCAGTCACCTCCAGGAAGGTCCGTGTCCTAGGCAGGAGCCCCCCCCCCCCCCCGCCTTGAACCGCCCAATGAATGGCGGTGGGCGTGGCTCAGGGGTGGAGCCCCCGCCTAGAACCGCCCAATGAATGGCGGTGGGCGTGGCTCAGGAGTAAAGAGTATTGTGCGGAATGGGGCAGTAGTGGTGCACGCCTTTAATCCCAGCACTGGGGAGGCAGAGCCAGGCGGATCTCTGTGAGTTCGAGGCCAGCCTGGTCTACAGAGTGAGTTCCAGGAGAGGCTCCAAAACTGCACAGAGAAACCCTGTCTCGAACCCCTCCCCCTCAAAAAACGTATATCGCCAGCCTAGAGCCCCCTGGTGAGGGGAGGGTGTGCTCATCTGCTGCACACTGTCTCACATGCAGGAACTGCTTTGCTTCCATCTCCAGGAAAAAAAAAAACACAAAAAACCCTGTGGGTGCTCAATAATGCGGAGCACTCTGGCTCAAACACGAATCTAATTCAGTCCTGGGCTGTCAGCTGCGCATGGCAGTGCACGCCTTTGATCCCAAAAAACAAAACAAAAACAAACAAACAAACAAAAGGAAACCATTGAGTTATCTACATGAACGACAGCTAACATCACTCCTTTTGAAATTCAAAACCGGTGTGGCTCATGGGAGTGGCGATACACACCTGGGTCCTAGCACTCGGGAAGCTGAGCAGTGGCATCCCCAATTTTAGGCCAGCCTGGGCTACATTGGAAAAAATGTGTGGTGCTTTCCACGTGGGGAAAGAAAGCTCTCAGCTGTGTCCCTGCCGGGGTCCTCTCACCCTGTCCCCCAGGGAAGCATACATCTCTGCAGCTCTGCCCTCATGAATCCTCATCCGATCCATCGCCTATGAAAGAGTTGAGTCTTCATGGCACTATCTTGTGATGCCCCAGGGCCTTTGCGCATGTCCCTGCAGCACCAAGTCTAGTAGGAGCCCTCTTCTGACCACCCCACTCCCAGGGTTCCATGGCTACCCTTTGTTGGGGCTGGCTTGATATCAAGACTTCCATAGCAGCATCTCATTAGGCTCATTCCAGAACTTGTGCGTGCGCACGCACACACACAACAGTGTACATGCCACAGTGTACAACTTTTTTGTTTGTTTTTAGAGACAGGGTTTCTCTGTGTAGTTTTGGAGCCTGTCCTGGGTCTCCCTCTGTAGACCAGGCTGGCCTCAAACTCACAGAGATCCGCCTGCTTCGGCCTCCCGAGTGCTGGGACTAAAGGTGTGCACCACCACTGCCCGGCCAAAGGACAACTTTTAAGAGTCAGTTCTCGCTTTCCATCATGTGGGCCCCAAGGACAGAACTCAGGTGCTCAGGCTTGGCTGCAAGCTCCCTTACCCGCTGAGCCCCCTTCCCGGCCCCCTTCCCGTTACTTTTAGTTCTTTATGCTGGTCCCGCAGGGTTCCTACCACGGAAGACGGAGGGCGGGTCGTGGAAGAAGGGGTAGCGGGTACCCAGGAGCAGGTAGGCACAATAGCTCCAACAGCCCAGGTAGAAGAGAAGCTTCCAGGCGCTCTCGGGTAACCTGGCAGCATCTCTGGGCTGCAGACGACACCGCTTGGCCAGGGGCTGTGGGGATACGGTGGGGAATGGTTATCACTGGGGAGCCCAGTGCTCCTCTGGGGGGAAAGCAAGGCCCAGGGACTGGCCAGGCTGGGTGGCATCATCTGGGGTAACCAGAGCCCATGTGTGCGGCCATGAAGGTCTAAACTTAGCACCCAGCTGTCCTGTGTGGCCTGGGGGAGGGAATGGGGGGGAGTGTCATGACACATGCAGGTTTAAAGCAACGGAGCCCAGGGAAGCCAGGTGGGGGGGAGGCTCAGGTTCTAGCAGGAAGTGAGGGTGTCTCGGGAAGGGAGGAAGGGGGAATGACTACTGAAGGAAAACACCTTGGGGGGAGGGAACTCGAAAACAGTGACTCCCCCACACTGGGAGGGAGAGCTGGGGACCAAAGGCTGTGATGTTGGAGAGAGAAGGGGGTGGTGTTAGAGGGAGCAGGTGGGCAAAGGTGAAAGGGGGTCATGTGATGGCGGGGGCAAGCTGATCTGGTGACAAGGAGACATCACAGGATAGTGTGCCCTGAGTTAGAAGATCAGTGTATGCCTATCATCCCAGCGCTTGGGAAGCTGAGGCAGGTGGATTGCCATAAATTTGACCAGCCTGGGCTTCAGAGTGAGACACTATCTCAAAAACTACAAAAAATGGGTTGGAATGGGCAGACTAGAGTCCGGGGAGGCTCCAGCACCCTGGGGCGGAGCTCCAGAGCTGTGGGCCAAGCCCAGCCCCCTTCCTACCAAGGCTGAGGGGGCCAGAGGAGCCCAGAGCACCCCAGCAGTTGTCATGGAGACAGCCAGAGCCCAGCTCCCGTAACCCCTAGCAACCAGGCTGCTGCCAAGTTGAGCTTGGGAATGGGGCAGCCCCTCCGCCTGTTTCCAGGGGAGGGGAGGGGTGGAAGTGGGTGGCGTCAGGCTGCCTCAAGGGCCTCCAGCATCCCAGCTGGGCACCGGGAGGGCGCGCTGGCCAAGGCAGATGGGGACCAGGGCTGCCCTCCTCACTCTTGCCTCCCCCTCTCTCCAGCAGTTGGGGGCTGTCGCTCCCTCCCGTGGGTGACAACAGACTGGGTGGGCTCTGGAGCTGGACAACACCCTATCTTGACCTAACAAGGAGCAGCCTCTTCCCATCAGCAGAGAAAGGCCCCTTTGTTGGCACAACGCTCTCTGTCCCCACACCCTCTGCTACTTCCAGTCAGATGGGGGCAGGATGTCCCTAGCTAGTCCCCTAGGGGGTATCCACCATGGTACTAGACCCGTTCCCCCAGGAGAGGTGAAGAATAGGGTCAGGTGCCAATGTCATCACTACCAGGGTCACTCTTCAGACCTGGGCGGTGGCCTCCTCAGTCTCCAGAAACAGAGCATTTTGACCATCGCCCCCTGGGGGCGGCAGAATCCAACCCTGAAGACACAGATAGGGTCATTCCCAAGGTTGAGCCCCTCGGTGTGGCCCTTGACACGCAGGTCTGTGCCATCCCTGATTCAGGGGTGGTGGGGACCCCAGACGAGGGACAGGACCTCGACTGCACAGACTTGGTGTAGACACAGCAGCTCCTGGTGATGCAGGGCGCAGATGACCTCTGTGCACCTCGAGGCCTCCTGGTGCAGGACCTGGACTCCCTGGTCCCCAGAAGGGTGCCCCGGTCGGCCCTCTGGTCCGCAACAGCCTAGAGGCCGTACCGAGCGGATCGCCCTAGATTCTATTGAAACTACCCAGGATAGGGTGTGGATCTAGTTTTCTTGTACCCACAACACCCCACGCCACATGGGACCCCCAATCTGTCATAGCGTCACCCCACTTCAGCCACACCCCCGCACCCACCCGGTCTTGTTGCAAAGACTCGGGATAGTCTCTGAGATCCCAACATCCTGGGCATCTCCAGCCCCGGCCCCCCTCCCCCACTTTCCATCGGCCACCACGGACATAGGGATACGTGAGCAGTGACCCCACTCACTCTCCCGCATGCAGTTCATAGGGGCCCCCAGGTCACACTGACCCGAAAGAGGCGCGCGGTGGCCGCCGAGCGCAGCGCGGTCCAGCCCAGAGCGCACAGCGCGGCCAGCAGCAGCTCGGGCGCAGCCAGGTGCGCGTGCTCCGCCAGGCCGCGGCGTGCCAATCCCCAGCCGCAGTCCCCGCAGCCCCGCGCCGCCGCCAGCGCCGAGGCCCAGCTTCGCTGCAACATCTGCGCATAGCTCGGCATGGGCTCTGGCGCCTCGAGCTCAGTGGTCGTCGCCGCAGCCGCCATGCCACCCGCTCGCCCGCTGTCCCGCTGCTGCCCGCACGCTTCCGAGCCGCTGCGCGCCCCCGCGTCACGCGCTGCAGCCAGGCCGGGGGCGCGCAGGCCCCCGCCAGAGCAAAACCGGGGGCGTGGTCGGCCCAGGCCCCGCCCCCAGAATGCCGGGCTCCACCCTTCCAGGCCTCCTCCGGTGCTGCTGTGAGACTAAGTGGTCCCGGAGCTCTGGGTGGTCCTTTGCTCAGTCTGCGACTACCCTGGGGCTCTTCTGCAGTCGAGATAGCTCAGCAGGTGTGAGGAGCCTTGGCATCAAATTAACGTCCTGAAGGTGAGGACAGACTGACGCTAGGAAATTATCCTCTCACCTCTACCTATGGCCCCATTCAAATAAATAAATGCAATGAGCCCAAAAAAAGAGATTCTGCCCATGCTTGGGTCTGGACCCACACCCTCTGTCCACTGGGCTCCGGGAATACACAGAGCCTGTTCCTGTGGTTCCAGCCAGCTCCGGAGCCTGTGTGTGCCACTTGGAGGATCACTGATGGCCTGGGAGGGTGCAGCCGTTAGGGAGGGAGTTACCTGGAGGAGGGCTGGGGACAGCCTGGAGGGAAAGCCACCAAGCCTAGCCTGGTCAGTTTCCTCTACTCTACTGATTCCTCCAGCCACAAGGCCTCCTGCACTGATCTTCCACCTGGCCATGGCCTCAGGCCCTTTTTGGTTTTTGAGACAGGGTCTCTGTGCAGCTGACAATGGTCTCGAACTCCTGCTTCTGCCTACTGAGTACCTGGAGGGCAGTTATGCACCACCATGTATAGTCCATCCACTGGCGGTGACAGAGCTCGGGCTCTGTGCATGCCAGGTAAGCCTTACTCCTCCAAAGGAGTCGGAACCCCAGCCTCATACATGTGCACACCATGTGTGTGCACTTGGCATGCGTGCCAAGTGCCTGAGTGTGGAGGCCAGAGGTAGATGTCCACTATCTCGTCCACCTCTACTTAGAAACGTTGATGGGTATGTGTGTGCGCGCGCATCTGTCACGCGTCTAGGTGCCCACGGGGTCTAGAAGGTGTGGAGTACCCTGGGGATGAAGTTCCAGGCTGTTGTGGGCTGGATGGACATAGTTGTTGGGATCAGAACTCCAGTCCTCTGCAAGAGCAGTGTGTGCTCTTAACCACCAACCCATCTCTCCAGCCCCCACTATTATTGTTTCAAAAGATTTAGTCCTAGGGCTGGGCACTGGTGGTGCACACCCTTAATCCCAGCACTTGGGAGGCAGATCTCTGTGAGTTCAAGGCCAGCCTGGTCTACAGAGCAAGATCTAGTCCTTTTGTGTGTTCTGCCTGCCTGGTGCCCAGAGGCCAGAAGAGGGCATCAGATCCCCTGGAACATGTTGGGAACTGAACCTGGGTCCTCAGCAAGAGCAGCCAGTGCTCTTAACCACTGACCCACCTTTCCAGCCCCTGCTGTTTTTGGAAGCAGGGTCTCTCACTGACGTAGGGCTCATTGATCTAGCTAGACCAGGTGGCCAACGAGCCCTAAGGAGGGAACCTTCTCCCACTACAGACACCTCTGCTACTGGCCACAGGTGCTGGGGATCCAAACTCAGGCTCGCACGCTTTTGGGAAGGCACTTGACTGAGCCATCTCACAGCCCGTTGAGACAGTGCAGAGATACAGCTGAGGCTGGCCCTGAACTCCTGCTCCCGTCCCCCTAGGAGTGCCCAAATGACAGGGGACCACAGCACTCTGTTCTTGACCAGACCTATGTGGGACAGGGGTTCCTTCACTTGTCACGGAGTTGTCAGGTGACAGGCCAGGGCTGGGCCTTCCCAGTCCCTCCTGGCAATCTCTGGGCCATCTGGCGCACCCGGCGCCTATCTGTAAGGGAAGAAGCCTGCTCAGACTAAGTTTCTTCTTGGCCTGGGACCAGGGTTCCTGGGCACAGACAAGTGTGCCCAGGCTCAGTGCTAAGGCTGCTGGACCCTAATGGAGCCCATGCTGAGTCAATAATGATGCCCGGCCCCTCCTGTCACAGGGCCAGGTATCTGTGGATGCTTTTCAGTGGCATCTGAGGTGGTGTGTCAGGTGGCTACCTACCGCCAAGGCAGATGAGACACCAGACTGAAAACCAAGTATCTTACCTCCTCTCCAGCAGGTAAGCTGAGGTCACAAGGAGCCCAGGGCCAGCTCAGGGGTCTGTTTTTTGCCACTGGAATGTGTATCCTCTAGAGTCTAGCATGATGGCACACAGCCCAAGAGACCTGCCTGACCCCCAGCCCTAATTAGCCCTCCTCCTTCCTGTCCAGCTGGATCCTACCTGTCCAGGGGCTCCTCACTATAGGTAAGACTCTGGTAAGCAGGGCCCAGCATGGTTGGTCTCAATCTTGGTGACAACCATACCAGTGACCCTGTGTCCATCATGCTGTGCACAGTGGCAGGCCCGATAGGCCCTAAGAGCCTCAGTTTGATCCTCAACATCTGTCATGATGGGTGCCTGATGGGCCAGGGGAAGGCTAGGGACCACGGTGGGGTAAGTGCAGCCTGGAGTGAAGTGGGACCCTGGGACTCCTCCCTCCCAAGTCCTGGCCCCACACTCCTATCAAGAGTGGCGGAGTGAGTGCTGGGTAGGTATCAGGCAGAGAAGACGGACAGGCTTTACTGGAGTGAAGTGGGACCCCGGGACCCCTCCCTCCCAAGTCCTGGCCCCACACTCCTATCAAGAGTGGCGGAGTGAGTGCTGGGTAGGTATCAGGCAGAGAAGACGGACAGGCTTTACTGGCAGACAAGGAAGTGAGGTGACATCCAGAACAGCTGGGGTCACAGGGGTGACATCCAGAACAGCTGGGGTCAC